GGCCTCCGCGGCTGGGAGGGCGGGCGGGCGGCGGCGGCACGGAAGGGCCCAGCCCCGCAAACCCGAGGATTCAGAGGCGCCCGACACACCCCGGCAGCCAGGGAGCTTGCAGGCCAGACTCCCCGACACCCCCTCCCGCCCGGGACCCCACTAGCCGCTCCCGGCTTTGCCCACCCCGTGGCAGATGGCCCCGCAGTCCCTGCCCTTTCGCCCTTCCTACCCTAGCCTGGGCACTGCCTGGGAGGAAGGCAGCCGTGTCCTGCTCCTTCCCTCGGAGGCTGGAGGGAGAGGCCAAGCCCCTGGAAAACGTAGCAGAAGTCGTGTCCGTGTGAGTGCGCGAGTGCAGGCCCAGGCGGCAGGAATCTCGTGCGCCCCACTGCCCATTGCGCTGGTGAGGACCAGCCCAGGAGGGAGGGCAGCTGGCCTTGGGCCCACAGCCGCTGAGGCCCTCCCCGACCTCCATCCCTGCTCCTTGGTCCTCCACAGGCACTCTGGGACGGCAGGGCTCCAGGGCAGGGGTCCCAGCTGCCCCTGCATATCTAGGGCAAGGGACCAGGTGTGGAGCCGATGTGGGCAGCGGCCTCTCCCCAGGACCCTCTCCCAGCCCTTGCTGCCCCAGCCCAGACACAGAAACTGGATCTCACACCGACGGCCAGGTGACTGCCGGTCATTTCTCCTGGGTTTCTGTGGGGTCAACATGTCAACCTGCAGGAGTTGGGTTGACCCCTCCATCCCCACTTCTCCCCAGTTTCTGGTCCTGGAGGGGCAGGAGGCGTCTAGGGATGGGAAGTGGGGGCTGGCCTTGTGAGTGGGAACCACTGCAGCACGCAGAGGACAGACGCGTGGGTGCAGCCTTGTGCAACCCGGTGACTGCACCTCCAGACGCCTCCCAGCCTCACCAAGGTCCCCTGCCAGGCAGCTGTCACCACACCCCTCAGGGAACCCACAGAGAGGCACCTGCAGGGAGGGTCAGGCCCCGCGGCAGCAAAGCTGGCTCAGAGGAAGCAGCCTCATCACCCCCGCCCTCTGTGGAGCCCTAGGACCCCGGCAATAACCTCAGTGTGGGTGAGGCCACACCCTCTGCCTGTCGGTGCCCCAGCTGCTGGCCTGGGCTGCCTCTCCTGGGGTCCCCCCTGAGGCTCTGGGGCTTTCAAGGGGGCTCCTGATGGGCCAGGCTGCCTACAGAGGGCACAGACCACCCTCCGGCCTGGAGCTGCAACTTCCCGCATTCCCACCGACAAAGGGCTATAGGTCCCCCCGCCCTGCCCGGGTCCAGTTTACACACAGCATACGGTGGCCCCAGGGCCTGGCCTCACTCTCCTCGGTGTGCCCGCTCCTCAAGACCTCCCCAGTGGGCACGGGGCCCACACGCCAGGTAAGTAGCAAACCCTCCTCTGCCAAGAGCGGACTCTCAGAAAGGCCCTGTCACTGCCCCGCCCACTTGGGGCCTTCGGCCTCTCCCAGCCGCGACTTCTCCTTTTTGCCTTAGGCCTCTCGACATCCTGATCTCTTGCAATAACAAGGAAGCGAGACTCCACAGTAGACGTCCCTCTCCGCGTGCCCTCTCTCTCTCTCTCTCTCTCTCTCTCTGCTGAGATGTTTTGGGAGTTCTGTCCCTCGTCTTCATAGTGTAGGGTGTTACAGCTGGGAAGGGACAGTAGGATGTAGCCCAGCCCCCTCCCCAGAGTTGGACACCAGCCTGACCCCCCCTGCAGGACTGGACCGGGTCAGGGCTCTGCTGCTGCTCTGCCCTGCTGCTGCCACTGTTCTGTTGGCGGGGCTGGGGTCCTTTACCCCTTAGGAGAGGTGTCGGTCACGATGTTTACCTCAGTTTATGTCACTGTCAGAGAAAAACAATAGCAAAAAATTAACACCGTAGACGTGGAGATTTAGAGACAAAAGAAAAAAACCCACAAAAAAAATCTCTTCCCTCTTGCGACTCCTTTGTGAAGGTACAGTGTGTACGCACACATGTGTGTGTCTCTGTCCCACCCTGGGGCAGGCCAGGTCATCCCTGACCTCTGTCCCCGTCCCTAGGTCCCCCACACTGTCCCGTGTCCTTCGGTGCTTCCCAGAGGCCCCACTGGGCTGGCCTGTGGGGTGTGGGGAGCCCCCTGGGTGGGAGTGGGGCCACAGGTCAGCCAAAGGGTTTCCCACAGGCCCACTCTGCAGAGCCAAGGCTGCCTGATGCTTCCTGAGCCCAGGACCATCGTGGTAGCCCGCATCAGCAGTTGGGCCTGGCTCAGGGCCTGGGGTAGGGTCCTGAGTACAGTCCCAGACCCCAGACTTTCATGTCTCGCCCCCCACCCACACCCCATGTGTTTGTAAATACTCTGGCACCCTTTGGCCCTGAGGTGGTTTTTAAATGTGTTATTTACTTCTCTAATCATGACAATTGCTATAAAATAAACAAAAACTTAGAAAAATTATCCCTGGGCAGTTGTGTCCTCTGTGTTGTGGAGGGGTGGGGAGCACAGATACCCCAGGTTCTCTCTAGACACTCAAAGCTTGATCGGGACAGATGTCCTCAGAGGGCATCTGCAGTCTGAGGGCAGCTACTGCAGGCCCCTGTGGCCTCTCAGAACTCAAGTAGGCCCTTGAGTAGGGGTTGAGGGCAGGGAGAGAGAAGACTCGTTTCCTCAGGAAGGGACAGGGCGTTGTCTCCGGCCTGAAGTTCAGCTCCAGCTTGGTTCATCAGGGTAAACTCTTTGGTTATAAGAGAAAAATACAAGGGGCTGAGGCTGAGGCAGGAGGATCATCACAAGTTTGAGACCAGCATGGACTACAAAGTGAGCTCAAGGCTGGCCTGAACTGCATAGTGAGACCCTGTCTCAAAAATAAAGAAAAAAAAAATACGAGCAAGAGGAGACCTGGGGGAAGGGTCAGCTTCTAAAACACAGAAACACATTTTACAAGTTAAAATGTTTAATGTTCCCACAGTGACAGTGTACTGTTGGGAAGTTTCCCTGGGTTTTAGTGCACCTCCTGGTCATCAGGTGTGTCGCTTCCCTCAGTTCCTTGCACCTGGTGTGTCCTCTGCCTCTAGACTTCCCACGACACTAGAGGAGAGTCTATACGCGTGGGTGCAGCCTTGTGCAACCTGGTGACTGCACCTCCAGACGCCTCTTAGCCTCACCAAGGTCCCCTGCCAGGCAGCTGTCACCACACCCCTCAGGGAACATATACACACTTTAATAGGAATAAAACACGAGTAGGATGGTTTCCAAGGCCCCAGTGACTCCTGAGAAACATTGGCTTTGCCCCGATGGTGGTGCATGCCTGTGATCCCAGCCCTCTGGGAGGCTGAGGCAGGAGGATCACAAGTGTGAGCACAGCCTGGGCATCTTCACGGAGACCCAGTCTCAAGCTAGAAAATAAAAAAGGCTGGGGATGTAGCTCAGTGCAAAGACCTTGGGTTCAATCCACGGTATCACCAAAAAAAAAAAAAAAAAGAGAGACATTGGCCTACTCTAATGGCAATAAACCTTGTCTTGCTTTGCTAACGGCTGCAGCCTCAGCACCTAGGACAATGACCCTAGCCCACAGGCGCTCAATATTGAATGAACGGTTTACATCCAACTGGAGTCCAGACTCTAAATTCACAGGCAGGCTCCACCTGCAGGCCTCTTCCCCAGGGAAGACCCCCCACCCCCCCGCGCGTGGAGTCTGCCCGTCGATCCTCGCAGGGGGCGGGGCCTCGTGCCACGCCCCTACTGCGGGCCGCCGACCGATTTTGGGTCCCGGAAGGAAGCTTGGAGGCGGGCGAAGGCGGCGCGGCGCGCGTCTGACGTCATCAAAGCGCGCTGCCCGGGTGGAGACGCCGAGGGCAGCTGAAAAACACTTGGGTTCACCTGCGCTAGCGCGCACCTTAGCAGCCCGGGTTCAGGCGACAGAAGCGCAAAGGCAAGGCCCAGCGCTGTGAGGCGGGCAGGCCGCGGCAGCGGGAACCGGGAGCAGGGCGTCCGCTGGACCTGCACCACGCAGGAGCGCGAGGGCGAGGAGGAAGCCGACGCCCCGGAGGCCCGAGGTACGGCTGCGGTAGGCGACCTGGCGCGGGGCTTCTGCGGGAAGGCGAGGGCGCTGGGAAACGCGGGGGCGTGGCCTCGCCGGGGACTCCCCGCGCGCGGCGTGGTCGCGTGCTGCACGCGGTGCCCCGCGGACCTCTGTGTCCGCGATTGATTGAACCCCGGCGGTTCCCGCTTGCGGAGTGCTTCCTGCGGGCCGGGCGGTGTGCTGAGGAACTCCCGGAGCTGCGCGCTCCTCACCTTGTCACGTTGTCGGTAGTTCTTTTTGCCCCAAGCCGCAGTATCCCTGAGGGCTGAATGCTGGTCCTTTTCCAAATTCACAGAAGAATATTTGTAAAAATAAAACTTGTATACCAGTACCTCTTTCTCGTTGTCTTGTCGTATTTTGGAAATCGTGGTGTTACTGGCTTGAATCTGGGCCGGTACACACATGTATAGCCGGATGAATTAGGTGATGATGCCGAAGGTCCCTTGATTTGCTTGCTCAGAGTTAAGCATGAGTAAGTGCATTTTGCTGAGCTACATTTTTTAAAAAAATAGTATAATGATAGCACTTTTAGGGTTGGTCAGAAAATTGGTTTTGCAGGCAGGCTGTGCTGGTGCCTGTCTTTAGTCCCAGCACTCTGGGAAGCAGAGGCAGGAGGGTCATATAATTAAGGGCGGTGTGGACCACAATACGGAGACCCTGTCTTAGAAAATGAAGTAGGCCCTGTGTGTTGGTTTGGGGCTTGTTTTGCAAGGAGAACAATATAATACAGGACACATTTTATATGATTATTTATAATAACCACCCAGAGAATGATATACAAGAGAGTGCAGGAAATCTGTCCACACACTATTGACCAGGAAATCCAGCTGAGGGCCTGGATCCCACGGAAATGTCCTGCATGAGTCCAGCTGAAGACCCAGAGCTCATAACAATGCCTCCCACGAGTCTACCTGGAGACCCAGAGCCCATAACAATATCTCATGCAGGCCTGTTTCATGGATCTGTGCTGGGAAGGCCCAAAGGTCAGTGGTGGAATCTAGGAAGCCTGTGCCAGCAGGATGAAGGGTCTGTGCTAGCAGGCTGAGGGATCTGCACTGGAGCCAGGAAGTGATGTGCAAAGTAAGAATCAGAGCTCCCCTGAAAAGACCCACAGCCATCCTCAGCAACAGTGAGGTCCCCAACTCCTCTAATGGTGAAGACAGCCAAGTTCCCATCAGGAAAGCCAGTGCAACAAGCTGCTTCAGGAGTCTGAGCTGTGCACCTTCTTCCCCTCCGGAGCCAGGAAGCGATGCTCAGAGTGAGGACCAGAGCTCCCCCAAAATGAAACAAAGCCATTCTCAGTGCTAACGAGGTCCCCAGCTCCTCGGAGGTTGAAAACAGCCGAGTTCATCAGGAAAGCCAGCATGACGAGCTCCTCCAACAGAACCAACAGCTCTTCACAGCTTGCACCAGCTCCAGCAGCCTCTCTCTGCTCCCAACAGCCTCCTTCTCCTTCTCCTCCAGTTCTGCCTCTTGTGCTGCTGGCAACAGTCCCCAGGTGGGCCTCCCACACCCAGCACCACGCTGACTCAGTTCAGCTGGGGTTATAAATTGACCACTAGTTGTCAATCCACTACACCCTGGGTTCAGTCGCTAGTATTTTTGGTACCGGGAATCACCCTGTCACCCTTGCCAGGCAGGCACTGTGCTGCTGAGCTAAATCCCCGGCTGTCCCTACTATTGTACTGCAAATGAAGCTGCTTACATACATATGATCATGTACATAAAATACAGTCTACGGTAAAGGCTTCTTAAATGTGCACAGTTAGTTTTTAAACAACCCCACTGATAGGTCAGAGACTTAGGCAACCAATGTGTGCCCTGTCTACACTGGTACCTTGAGCAAGTTCTTAAAGTCTGTACCCTGTTCCTCAGAGTAGGAGCAAGATGGGTTTGTGGGTGGGTAATTAGTTTTTATTTTTGTACTCAGGATTGAACCCAGGGCCTTGACACTAAGCTGCAACTGCAGTCGATTTTATTTTTTTGAGACAGAGTCTTAAACTTCACTATCCTCCTGCCTCAGCCTCCCAAAGTACCAGTGTTACAGGTGTGCCCAGCAAGAGTAAGTGTTTTTAATTCTCTTTTGGTACCAGGAATCGAACTCAGGACCTTGCGCTTGCCAGGCAGGTGCTTGTGCCACTGAGCTATATCCATGGCCCTGGAGTGAGCGTTTCTAATTCTGTTAACTTGGTTCTCATCACACCGAAACCAGTATGTCATAGCAGGCGTGGTCCATCTGGTGAGCGCATTTCCCTCAGTGCTTCCCTCTTCTCTCAGGATGCTTCTGGAAACATTTTCAGGTGTCGTGCACCACGATCTGAGGGAACTCCCTTCTTCCTCCACGTTTTGGAGGGAGTGTTTTCCCAGTCTCTTAATAAATAACTTTGTTGTCAGTAGTGAACCATCTGCCACTGGGAGTTTCACGCAAGTAGTTGTAATTAGTGTCTGAATACGAGCTGTTGTCTTGTTGGTTTTACAAAACCAGTTTACGGACCAGGATGAGCAGCTCTCTGGAAGTGAGGGAGATGATGTAGAGGCCGCCTTAAAGAAGGGAGCTGGTGACGTTAGAGGAGGCTAAGAAGGTTCCAGAGTGTGGCGCAAATAGCGTAGTCTTCACTGGGACACTTGGGAGAGGGTGTGAGTAAAACCCCTTAGATCATTGATTCTGGATGTCCGGACAGCGCCCTGTCTCAGAACGTACTACACGGTAGCTCCGTGGCTCTGTTAATTGGCTGATGGCAGTCTCTCTACACTGTATTCGCAGGCACATGAGAAGTAGAATGGGATGCACGTAGCATTGGTGTAGGCGTGAAAACCCTTGCTGCTTCCTTTGTAGGTAATGGTAGGCAGAATGTGGTGTGTTTCTGTCCAAGAGCGACATTTGCTATTCAGCTCCAGCCAGTGTTTGGGAATATGGGGCCAGATCTTACGACCTTTCAAAAACTTGAAAATTGGGAGAAACTCTCTGATTCTAACATGTGGCCACCTGATTTAAAAATACTGAGAGCAGTGCGCATCCCCAAGTAGGTTTGTAGGTAGGCAGGATGCACCCTGAGAGTCACTGCGTCGTGCTACTGCAGTGCATGGTTCTGGCGTTCTTCCCAGTCAGATGTGGACTTCTATACTCTTCAGCTAATCAGTTCATTAAATCTTTAAAACAACTGTATGTGTTAAAAAAAAAAGTATGTGTTGATGGCACGTGCCTGTAATCCCAGCACTTGGGGGGCAGAGACAAGAGGATTGCCATATGTTCAAGGCCAGCCTGTAGGACATAGTAAGACGCTGTCTCAGAAACCAAACAAACAAGTAAAGGTGTATATTGTTTCGTGATTTTTACTCTGATAGTTGCTACAATAGGAAAATTATGGTCCAGTAA